ACTTGTGTCAGATGTTGGATCTCCAAATTATCAGCATCTATGGTGGCACTAACCCCATGTATTGTCAATAAGTGTTTGTGTTACACATCTATAGCCCCTCCGGTTCTTCATTTTGACTGGGGGCGTTATTTGAACTCGTGAAGTTTATTATAGGTTTTATTTTAATAATTTGAATTATTTATTTTGTAATGTATTTTATAAAAAATTAAGTCAATTTGACAATTGCAACCTATTTAATCCATCGTGTTTGTCACCAAAAAAATAGATAATAATTGTATTTTTAAAAATAAACTACTTATTTTTTTGGCGACAAATGCAATGAATTGAATAAATTACGATTATTAAATCGATCTAATTTTTTATGTGAATGAAATATACAAAGTACCTAACAAAATAAGTGATTTTGAATCATTAAAACGGTACCCGTAACAAGCCCAAATAACACATTCCAATATGAATTAAGTACAGGAGGAGATCCACTTCCAAAAATATATGTCTATTCTTTGTTTTCATAGGATGAAGAAAGAGATTTTTGAATATCTAAGCATATGGGCAATTCACCAAATTCATTTGTTTTTTTTAATTTTAGCCCTTGTTTAGACATGACAAATTCGAGAGCATAATGGTTCTTCCCTCGTATATACCTCAAAAGCAAAATTAAATTATGTATTGATCGTTTAATAAATTAGTGGTCAAATTTGCACTACATAATTGATGGAACTGTAAAACATCATTTTATTTTATTTTTGGCTAACGGATATGCAAGATTTTTGCTAAATAAATTTTTAGTATAAAATTTATGGCACTGAGATCAAACCAGAAACTTCTTGAACAAAGTCTCATAGCCACCAGACTAATCAAGTGGGTTCTCTAATCTTTACCTTACATGGTGATTAATTATGTTCTGCAACAATCTAAAGTGATCAACCCCATTATTTATTTTTATTTTTTTTACTTTTTGTTTTGGATACTGGATAGAGGTGAAGAGGCAAAAAAGAATTAGGGCTCTTTTTTTTTCTTCTTGTTTTTCTATTAAAAAACAACTGAACATTAAAAAATTATTTTTAAATCCTGATTTTGTACTTTTTGGGTTTGTTTTGGCAGTTTGGAAGAACCAAACAGGGCCTCTCAATCAAATCAAATTCACGTTAAGACCTCGTTTGGAAACAAGCTTTTTTAATAAATTTTTTATTTTTTGACTAAAATATGATGTAAAAAAACTAGTATGTTTTTAGGATAACTTTTTACGAAAAGATGTGCAAAAATTAGAGAAAAAAAAAATCTTTGACTTTTTGATTTTTTTATGACTTTTTAACTAAAAAAATCATTTGTCAAATGAGGCCTAAGTAGGAAGTCCGAATTTACACTTCAAAAAGATTGAAACCAACCTACCCCTGAACACAATGGACTTCGGTGGTATTTGTTTTGAGAGAATTAGGTAAGAGATTACACTAATAGTCTTTTCGGATTAATAGTCCATTCATTGGTTCAAAATTATTGCTCTAGACTATTAATCCCAAATATGTTGAACTATTGTATCTCATGGGGGGTGAGACACAAATGGAGGGATAAGAGGATATATGATTAGGTGGTAAAATGATTATTTTAACCATCTACTGTTTAATTATGTATTATATTTAGTAAACTTTAATAAAATTTAATTGTCTCAATTTAAAAATAAAATAATTTTATTTAATTTTTATTGATATTTTATTTATTTAATTTTTATTGATATTTTATTGATGTTTTATTTTAAAATTTTGTTTATATTTTATTTAATTTCATTATTTAAAATTTAATAGATGTTTTATTTAATTTTATTATTTAATTATTATTATTTTTTAAATAAATTTATTTAAATTTTTAATTAAAAATAACATATATTTTATTGATATTTAATTTTTTCAAAATAAATTTATTTAATTGTGCAAAAAATAAAATAAAATAAAATTTTATTTAATTTAACAAAAAATAATTAAAATATATCTAATATTGCTATTACTTAGTAAATAATTAAAAAGGATAAAATGGTCATTTGAACATTTATCTTTTTCTATAATATTCCAAACAAACATAGAATTCAATAGAATAGTCTAATCCAAACATCTAATCCCTTGACTAAAAAAACATAAGATATAAATATAATTTAACCAAATAGTCCGGGGACAATGTATGCCAAAACTAACATTCCGATGAATTCCAATCTCCCCTTATTCAGTCCGTCCAAACAAACACGCCATAAACTATATATATAGTGAAATGCTACTATCTCAAATAATGAATAAACAACATTTTTAAAATATGAAAATGATGATAAATATTTTGATTACAAACGAAAAGATCACAAAAACCAAAAATTCAACATAAAATAACCCTATTTTATTGAGTTCTAAAATTCATTTTTTTAATTGTTTTGAAATTGGATTGACAAAAATAAATGCCAAAAATTATATTTGTAATTTTAAAAAAATTATTTTTATCACAAAAATAAAATAATGAATTTTTATGTATATATAATTATTCTTACTATATTGATAATATGCCTGCAATCTACAGTGTCACCAGATTATTTTTTTTTTTTTGGGTAACTTGTTGCCTTATATCTCCCTTTTAGTGAGATTTGTGTTCACAGTATAATTAATTTTTGGATGAATTACATTGACACCCTTGAGATTTATGTTTATTATAGTTTCTTTCTGACCTTTTAGAAATTACATCTTCCCCTGAGGTTTAAAATTTCATTACAGATTCTCCCTCAGCAATTTAATTTTTTTAAATATCAATTTTACCCTCACTAGGTAAATTATGTTGACACCCCTCACATTTTAAAAATTACAATCCCCTCCCTAAAGTTTAAAATAACATTACCAATTGCTCCATTGGTTAGTATTAGTTGGAAAAAAAAAAATTCATTGAAAAAAAAATTTGGTTAGTAAAATTTTTAAATTTATATTTAGAAACCAACATAAACTCATTTTTTGAATTTACATTTTTTTCTCAAATTTACAAATTGAGACAACTATTAATAAACTAAAAAAATTATCAAACAAGTTTTTATGACAATTTTTAAAATTTTTGTAAATATAAATTGAAAACTAAAAATAAAATGGTTACCTAACAGGCTTCAGATAATAAAAGTGTTGTAAAATTAACAAATAATTAAATAAATTACCAACGTAAAAAATGACTTGTCAAATACATACATATGACTGTTTCAATTTAATTTGTAAAAAATTATTTCTAACCACTCAAAAGATAAAAATTATATAAAAATAATAATCATTTTTATTTTTTATTTCTTAACCAGATTAATTTTTAATTTTTTTAAAAAAAATTCTAAAAATCAAATCATACATAACTTAAGTATTGTCTCTGCATACAGTGATAACTTATTTAATTATTTGTTAATTTTATGATATTTTTATCATCTAAGACATATTTGATAACTATTTTGTTTCAGTTTTCAATTTATATTTATAAAATTTTTAAAAACAATCAAAAACTTATTTGATAATTTTTTTAATTTATAAATGCCTGTCTCAGTTTGTAAATTTGAGAGAAAAATGTATATTCAAAAAATGAGTTTACATTATTTTTAAACAAAGAATTTAAAAATTTTACTAACAAATTTTTTTTTCAATGAATTTTTTTTTTCCAACTAATACTAACTAAGAGAACAATTAGTAATGCTATTTTAAACCTTAGGAATGAGATTGTAATTTCTAAAATATGAAAGGTGTCAATGTAATTTACCCAATGAGTGCAAAGTTGGTATTTAAAAAAATTAAATTCCTGAGAGAAAAATCTGTAATAAAATTTTAAACCTCAGAGAGGAGATGTAATTTTCAAAAGATGAAGAAGAAAACTGCAATAAATATAAACCTTATAAATGTCAGTGTAATTTACCCTTAATTTTTAAGAAAAATGTTACAAACCTCCTTTTCCCCCACCCCTTTTGACCCCCTCTCAACATGATTGGCTAATTTTTTTTTTTTTCTTCTCCTCCAACCACCACCCGCCATATGTGTAGGGAGTGATAATTGGAAGGAGTATCTATCAGAACCCAATTTTTAAATACAGAGCACCTGCAAATTCAACACCAACTAATTACTTTGAATACATAAACTTTGGCTTCCTTTGAAAAGTGGTCAGCGTTGAGTTTTTAACTTTTTTTAATTTAAAGTTAAAAAATCTCGTTTAAATTGAACTTTTTAACTTTTATGAAAAAAATAAATAATTATTATAATTTAAATATGATATTTTATTTTATTATCTTTTAATCTATTTATCTTTTTGTCACTATTTTAACTTAATAACACCATGCCAAACCAAAGTTTTGAGAACTCTAGATTTTTACACTATTAATTCATGTTATATAGTCATGTCACAGTCAATCTAAGCGTATATCGTTCTACTTTTCTTATTCTCTAGCTTGACATGAACTTAACAACCATATAAGATTTTCAGTGGTGTGCCGAAACACCTGCCAAAGTCTGTCAAAAAAATTAACTGTAATGATGTGTCATTTGTTTGTGAGATTAAAAAAATAAAACAAAAAAAGAAAAGTAACTCATAGTAGACGAGAATTACATTTTGACAAAAATTAACCCAGTAACCTCTCAAATAAAAGTGTACAAGGATAGTCAACTAAATTAACTACGTTGATTATCTTATTTTTCATCCCTTTATTTAACATTTTCAATCTTTTTTATCTCTTATTACTCACTAATCATAGTCTCTCATATGCTTATATTATATCTGTCATTAGTATCCCTCTTTAAGAGCGTCAAATTATGCTGACATCTCTTTTTAGGCAGCACAAATTTTCAAACTATAATTTAAGGGTACAAAATAGTAACACTAGGAACTCAATCAGTGGAGACCTAGCTGCAAATTTTGTGGGTAAAAGAAAGAAGATGCAAAAGGAATTGCTTTTTCTTATTTGGTTAGAAAAAAATCATTGTTTATTTATTTTATTTTTTAAACTGACGTAAATGTAATTCAATGAAGGCAAGTGAAGAATAAAATAAATAAGACAACAGTTGACAGTACAGTGCAAGGGACTGTGTTACCAAATTCACAATAAAATACAACAATTCTCCAGTTTGCTATTTTCTTTTTAGGGCAAATTTTGATGCAAATACTGGAGAACTAATGTAACAAAATTGGGACATGCATAATCTTCTGCTGCATGCCCCTTTGTTCTTGTGGGTTAATTATAAAAACCGAGCAACTAACCTCTATGCAGCATCAGGCCTGTGCCAAAATCAAAATGTAGGAGACTGGCATTACTTGGCTTTCACAATTCTTTGGCCCCTGTCGAAAATGGGATAGTCTACCAGTTCATTAGCAGAAGGTCGCCGAACTGGTTCTGGGTCCATCATGGCCTGATTGGATTGCCAAATCAACAGAAAATAACAATCATTCTAATGCAACTAGACGGTAAAGTCATTACTCTGAACAAATTTTCCAACAGAAACCTGCAACAGGATTTCATGACTATTAAGGTCAATTCAGGTTTCACTAAATAGATAGAAGCAACCTAAGGAAGAGATATTTGGGTGATTATGGATGTGCTTTATGTTTCTAATTTTGTAGTTACCACCCTCTCGTGTTGTGAGAGATTTATCTTAAGTTGTGACTTGGGTGTCGCTTCTTCTAAGGATTGTGTCTTGAGCATCATTGTAATATCTCATTTTTTCGATATAAAACTAACTGCTAAAAGCCAGTAATAAGAAGCAAACAATATTCCGTACCTTTAGCAAGTTATGAAATTGCACTGAGTGGACAGGAAGGAGTGGCAATTTTCCTTCCCTAAGATTCAAGGAAAGAGGCCCTGATTCCGGCAATGCTGACCCCCTAATAAGCTCATAGATGGCAGCTCCCAGGGAGAAGATATCGACCTTGTCAAGATGATCATAGTTGTCATTCAGTATCTCTTGGGGCATATACCGTGCATCACCCTCTTCAATTGGCAGGCTCTTATCAATGAGAGTTGCACACCCAAAATCACCTAGCTTGTAAATGTTAAAATTGTAATATTATTGATTGATGTAGATTGATGTATCTATTACAAATGGTGAGTGGCTCATTATATAGGAGAGGGTGAGTGTAGTAGGTGAGGAGTAGGTGGTGGTAGGTGATGGTAAATTGGTGGTAGGTGATGGTAAATTCTAACAGCCCCCCGCAAACTCAAGGAGGATAGAAACTAACCAACTTGAGTTTGAAGAGAGGAACAAAACAAGAAAACCGTTTACTATCACTCCGAGTCAAGCTCGCCGAACCCTAAAAACAAACCCCAAAAAAAAACCTAGATTGAAGTCGCGAATTCCACATCGATGCTCAAAAACAATCGACCCCAATTTCAAACGAACTCAACTTAATTCAGAACACAAATTTGAGATTGACATATATGAATTAGTAGTGCGTAATATAGAGAATGGTGTGATTGAGATTGAAGATAAGGAGTGATTGGAGGATTGCTTACTTGCTGTTGAGAGGCGGCGTAATCGGAGTCGTCGGACAAATCGTGAAGCTCTGCTTCTTGCATCGCTGGTGAATTGGGGTGATGTAGAGAGAGAGAGTGTGGAAAGTGAAGGAGGCCACGTCTGCGGCGCTTGAGAGGAGAGGATCTCAGATCTGCTGGAGCGGCGCAACTGAAATTGGGCAACGAGGCGATCGCTACGTTTTCCGGGCCGGCGATAAGTTGCCGGAGTCGGTGGATTGGACGAAGAAAGGGGCTGCTGTTTCTGTTAAAGATCAAGGCCAGTGTGGGAGTTGCTGGGCCTTCTCAACGATTGCTGCTGTGGAAGGGATAAATCAGATTGTAACAGGCAATCTGATCTCTTTGTCGGAGCAGCACCTAATCTCTGTTTGTCGAGTGGGAGAAATGTTGCCGTCGTTGATGGCGAAAAAACGCGAAGCTATGTGCAGAAAATTCCAGCGGGCAACGAAGGCAAAGTTGCCGGCCGGCTGCCGCCGGTGAGAAAAAATACAGGCTTAAATCTTATAGCTCTGATACCATGTTAAAATTGTAATATTATTGATTGATGTAGATTGATGTATCTATTACAAATGGTGAGTGGCTCATTATATAGGAGAGGGTGAGTGTAGTAGGTGAGGAGTAGGTGGTGGTAGGTGATGGTAAATTGGTGGTAGGTGATGGTAAATTCTAACAGTAAACACCATTCTTGACATAAATATTTTCAGGCTTCACATCTAGGTGGGCTATTCCCCTCTCATGTATGAACTTCAATGCCTTGGCTATCTGCACAAATTTCAAACTAGTAATCATAATTGACAAGCCATTGCAAGAATAAAAGGTCCGTAAAGTAAAACAAATGTTTGGAAATACTGAAAAGCACCTCTTGACAAGAGTACATTTGGCATGCTGCAGAGACAAAATTATTTTTTTCCTGTTTTGTTCCCAGTGGCATACTGGTGTATTCAGGCACAAAAAATTGGGTCTTATATTTCCATTTGTTATAGAAGTTCCCATTTTCATCTTTTGTTATTGAGACTGGATAATAAAGTTAACCCTATGATGTCAAATGATTTGAAGATCTATAAATTAGCAGGAAGCAAAACAGGAAAAACCAAATTTGTAAATATATTCAGATGAGGGCCAGGGAAAGGTCGCATCTCTATGCAGACAGACATCTATTTAGTATTTACTGAAATGCATCCCATATTAGTATACCAGTATTACTGTATTAGGATCTCAGTTGATTTTACTGCCTAATTCTTATGTCAATTTAAGAGGTGAAATGTATTATGCTTAAAAAAATTCTGCCAATTGGGGGGTCCAAAATCATCCTTGTAGATTTAGCATAGACATTTTGCTGCTTGGCTCATACATAGAAATGGATTTTCTCCATAACAGATGCACCATTTTTCCAGTTCCAAACTCAGACCCCAAGTAAAATACTAACCTGATGTAATATTTCCAGCACCTCTACCTCTGTAAATAATTTAGATCTTCTGATGGATAGGCTGTGATCACAGAGCTCCATCTGGATAAAGAGCTGCTCATTTTCAAACCAAGAAGAGTAGTATCCAACTAGGTTTTCATGGAATCCTGCAAAGACAAAAAGGCAAATTGAAGTAGAGGACAATGTTTAATGTTTGTGTGTAGAAAGAAAACAACACTCAGACAGGAAAATTAACAAAAGAATTATGTTCAAACCTAAAGCAGCCAAAGCTTGAACCTCCATCAAAGCTTTTCTCCTGCAAGAGTTGTTGCATGAGAAAGCCACTGAAACATATGGTATAGAATGAAAACCGAAAGCATGAAGAATGTACCTTTCCATGTCTTGATGTAACAACCTTGTGCTTTTTTTCACTGCATACAAGCAACCATCAATTCTCTTCAGGACCTTGAAAACATGGCTGAAGTTTCCATTACCAATTTGCTGGATACAAACAGATAAACCACTAATTATAAAAAGCCCATCAGCCTGAAAATGTAGATAAAATTGATTCAGCAATCCAATAATTTGCTGGAAATTGAAATGTACCTCAATTTCATGAAAATCTGTTCGGTAACGTGAAAGGCCATCTCCACCAATAGTTGTAGGAAAAATACCTGCATAGTGAAGCTCTATGAGGTTAAGACTATGAATTGATGAAATAAGGACTGACACAAATGACAAAACCATGCCAGAACCCTTCCTGAAAATTGTGTCAATGGAAAGCAATAGGAAAAGAAATGGGTCTATGACTTTGAACATGCTGCACTCCATTGTGATTGCAATGTTGGCAATGGCAGGCTATACTATCCTAGAAGCTGCATAGTAATATTTGATGCTAAGTCTAGCTTGCCTTCTATAAGGTGGCTTCCCAAAGCTAAAATGGCAGGCACTTTCTATCGTTTCAAAGAAGTGCAAAATTTTTATATTACGCATTTATTACTGCATTCAGGACAGTAATGGCTGTTTTGCAATGCTGTTTCAAGAAAAAGAGGTTTCCAAGATGCTGGAGAAAATTTTAAAAGAAGCTTATACCTGCACACTTTGATCTTCGATTGCTGAAAGGATCTATATCAATTTTGGACACATCTTTTATGCATGGATTCTTTATGCATGGAGGAGGCATAACCCGACAACGTAAAGCAACTGCTGACTGTGAAACATAACTATGAATCTTTTGAGATTCAGCTCCTACAGCTTTCTCTGTCATGATTTCATCTATTCCAAAAGCATCTTTGGGAAGTTCTACTGTTTGGTCATGGCAAGATAAGTTGGAACTGAAATCAGAGATACCATCTGAACCGCACGCGCGCACACACACACACAAAAGAGGAAAAAACTTAATCAGGACAATTAAAAATTAGACCAATCAACCAGATGTGAATATGTAGTAGATCATACTGTAATAGCTAATGCATACAGATGATAAGCTGCTGAGGTGAAAAGGAAGTTAAAAACCAGAGAAAGATAAGGAAATCAATAACAAAAGGTCTAGCAATAAATAATAATAATAAAAAAAAACTAGTAAAAATGTCTACAATATCGTATTGTTTCTTATAAAAATTAAATAACAGAAAATGGCAAGAATTAACTTTTATTTATGAACACATTGCTCATTCTAAGGGGGAAGAACTAATTTAAGATAGGTCCACCGTCAACCCTCATCACATCCATAATATGATCAAGATCCACAAGCAATAAAATTACAATGTATTAAATCCAAGTCTTATTTTTTATTCAACTCATACACAGACAATAGCATTCTACGGATCAATACCAATTATGACATGAAATTGGAGTAGCACCCATGATACACGTTAAAGCTCAAGCACAACATAACAATTAACCTTACCCTGCCTTTGCCTTTTGCTTTTGACAGTTTTTAGTTTCTCTGGTGACTTGGGACAAGAAATATTTTCCTGCATAAAAAAAGGCGTGAGCAAATCAAACACAAAATCCAGCATTCAAATAACAATAATGGCACGGATTCAACGAATACCTTGTTGCAATCCAAATTGGAGATATATTGGCCATCCGGAGTGATATAGTCAGGAGTACTGCATGCACACAAAAAAACAAGTACATTCAAAACAAACCATTGCAAGAGATAGTTAATCAATTCGATTGAAAGTACATTAGGTCATTGAGATAACATAAAATCAAAAATCAACACAGAAAAATTGTTGCTTGTAGCATACGCACAAACATGTATTGTGTATAAAAAGTTAAAGGAGTATCAAATTGAGCAATCGGAATATCAGAACCCTAGGCTAGGGTTTGAAATCGGGATTGAAGAATAAAGGAATTGGGAGATACCAAAAGAAATCCTGACTGAGAATGAAATCTTTGTCATCTGCAATGGAATCGATGTCGATATTGAGGGGCGAAGACGATGGAAGTTGCGATTCAGAGGATTGTTGACGGAGAGGGAAGAAAGAGACTTGACCTAGCTGCTCAACAGTCAAGTGTCCAGCCAGTGACCCCTTCATTCTCTTCTTCTCTCTCCTGCTACTCCTCAGGATTTTCCTCTTCACAATCTGCAACCTCCACCTCTCTCTCTCTCTCTCTCTCCCTCTCCTCTGTTATATATTGATATATTGATATATATATATATATATATATATGTATGTGATTTTTGGAATTTCAGAATGGAGGAAAGAGAAACAGAAAGAAAAGTGGAGGAGAAGAAAGTTCAAAATTGCGCGGGGGTTCTCTTCGTGGGCAATTATTGAAGAGATCGGGCGTTATCCTGATTAAAATGCTTCGGTACTCTCTCGTCCTGTGGTGCACAGATGATTTTTGTGTTAAATCTGAACCGTGAACTGGAGGAAGATGGTGGATCTTTTCTCATTTGCTGTTTGATCTGATGGAAGGTACGGTTTGGATGATTACAAATTTAAACACTTGAGGTCATGTAGCGTACTGCGTAAGATTTCCTCCGACAATGGCAATAAAATGTTTCGAGGTACTGGGCCTAAACGGTTCAAAAAAGAGAAGAGAAGGTAATGGGCCTAAACGCCTAACAAATAAAAGTGCGAAAAGGAGAATTGGGCTATGGTCCATTGGCAATGGTTGACCCACCAAGCTTATTTCCCTTCTCTTTAATATCACATATTTAGAATTTTTATTCAAATAAAATTTTAAATGTGTAAATAAAATTTATTTTGACTTAATTCACACTCAACTTTAAATACAGCCTATATTGAAGCTGTAATTATATATATATATATATTTTGAATAAAAAATTCTGATTAGATAGAATTTTTCTCTTTCCACCACCTTTTACTTGAAGCAATTTTGATAAAATTTTGATGAAAGTAGGTTGGTTTTTTTATTATTTTAATTTGGGATTAAAAATTCTCGTTTGAGATGTATTTTTTTGACTTAAAAATTCTCGTTTGATATGTGTTTTTATAACTTTTGTGAGAGAAAAAATGTAATGATTATGGGTTAGATGTGATATTTTGTCTTATTGAACTAAAAAACCTATTTGATTTTTTTGTGGCTATTTTAACAAAAAAAAAAGTCTCAAACCTATCTTCCCAAACAAGCACAAATCGTTTGGGAAGTAGGTTGGCCTTTTAGCTATTTTAGCCTCAAATTAAAAAGCCTCGTTTGGAAAAGACTTTTTGACTTCTTGGATTTTTTTGAGAGAAATAATGTAATAATTATGGATTGAATGTGATGTTTTGTCTTATTGGACTAAAAAGTCTATTTTGTTTTTTTGTGACTAAAATAGTCTCAAACCCAACCAAACTCATTTTCCCAAACAGAGGCAAAGTGAAATAATTACTTTCTAAACTATTTCTCATAGTGGTGTTTTGGGAAGTTGGTAAAAAATTAACTTTTTGACTTTTTTAGTCTATTTTTTCTTTTTATGAGTAAAAAATATGATATATGATATGACCTAAAATGAGTAAAAAGCTAAAGATTGACCCTTTTTTTTTTGTGGGGGTAACATGTACCTTTTTTTTAAGGGTCCCATATGAGTTTAATTTGATACTTGGGAAGGCTCTGTTTTAGCCAAAAAGTCAAAAAGTTACTAAATTAGCCAATTAGCCAATTAGTTATACCAAAAAGTCAACAATTACGGCTTCTCTCTACTTTTTGTACAGCTTTTCGTAATTAGTCAAAAAGTCATCCCAAACATACAAGTTTTTTTTACCTATCTTTTTAGCCAATTAGCCAAAAAGTTACTAAATTAGCCTGTTCCCAAACGAGGCCTTAACATATAAAGGTTAGTACATATATTAAAAGGCGTTTTGGCAACCCAGTAAAATGTCATTTTTTTGGCTTTTTAATTTTTTTGAGTCACATTATTTCTTTATCTTTTTACATTAAAAATTTTAAAAAGCTACCAAAAAAGTTAAAAAGATAATTTTTTACCATCTTCCCAAAACATTACTAATAAATAAAAAAATATAGGTAGCTTAGTAGATTTTTTTAAATATAATTTGATAATAGAGTTGTATTATGAGTTTGTGAGTTTTGGAATTATGATTTGAGTATGGAAAATTTGTTTGATGAATGAGTTTTGAATTAAGTGGAAAGACATATATTTGATACAAAAACTTATAACTCATAACCAAATACTCAACTCAAAATTTTATTCAAAACTCATAAAAAGTTTAAAAAAATTCTGATTTTTTTATTTAAATTATAAAAAATAACAGTGGCCAATTGTAAAAAAAAAAAAAAATAAAAAAAAAACACCGTGTAAAATTTTACCAAACAAGTTTTTATTTGAGTTTTTAAAATTTTTGTAAATATAAACAGAAAACGTAAACATTACCAAACAGACCCTAACTTTTTGACTTTTTTAGTCTATTTTTTCTTTTTATGAGTAAAAAATATGATATATGATATGACCTAAAATGAGTAAAAAGCTAAAAACTGACCCTTTTTTTTTTTGTGGGGTAGCATGTACCTTTTTTTTAGGGTCCCATATGAGTTTAATTTGATACTTAGGCCTCGTTTGGGAAGGCTCTGTTTTAGTCAAAAAGTCAAAAAGTTACTAAATTAGCCAATTAGCCAATTAGTTATACCAAAAAGTCAACAATTACGGCTTCTCTCTACTTTTTGCACAGCTTTTCGTAATTAGTCAAAAAGTCATCCTAAATATACAAGTTTTTTTTACTTATCTTTTTAGCCAATTAGCCAAAAAATTACTAAATTAGCCTGTTCCCAAACTGGGCCTTAACATATAAAGGTTAGTACATATATTAAAAGGCGTTTTGGCAACCCAGTAAAATGTCAATTTTTTGGCTTTTTAATTTTTTTGAGTCACATTATTTCTTTATCTTTTTACATTAAAAATTTTAAAAAGCTACAAAAAAAGTTAAAAAGATAGTTTTTTTTCCATCTTCCCAAAACATTACTAATAAATAAAAAAATATAGGTAGCTTAGTAGAGTTTTTTAAATATAATTAGATAATAGAGTTGTATTATGAGTTTGTGAGTTTTGGAATTATGATTTGAGTATGAAAAATTTGTTTGATGAATGAGTTTTGAATTAAGTGGAAAGACATATATTTGATACAAAAACTTATAACTCATAACTCATAACTCATAACCAAATACTCAACTCAAAATTTTATTCAAAACTCATAAAAAGTTTAAAAAATTCTGATTTTTTTATTTAAATTATAAAAAATAACAGTGGCCAATTGTAAAAATAAAAAAAATAAAAAAAAAACACCGTGGAAACAAACTGGCCGGACGTCTGGGAGGACGACCAGTTAGTTTAAATTTTCCCACCTTTGGAAAGAGTTTTCAAAAGTGGGTGTGAAATTAATTTTTGAAAACTCTAAACAAATAACACACTCAAAATAAAGGGATGAAAATGTGTTTGGAGAGCTTCTCCAAACACAGCCATAGTATTCAAAATTTTAATCAAAATTTAAATGTACTGTGTAAATTTAAAATGAATATTGTGTGAGTCATACCTAAAATGAATTCCAATCACAAATTTACAATTTTGAATATTTATCAGTACTTAGTATTACTGTATTAAAATACATATATTTTGGTCACAATTTTCTTAACAGAACTCTCTAAAATTAGCTCAGACTTAATTTAGCGGAGCTAGTTAGTGTAGGAGTTCATGTTAATTATAATTTACATACATTAAAAATAAATGAGAAGATCAATTCGTAATTAAGATGCTGTGGTCACTTCTCCAATCAAAGTAACATTTGCTTCGGCGATGCAAGTGTCGCCCACCAAGTAACCCTTCTTTGGGTCGTTGAGTTTAACAATTGACATGAACTTCTGTGCCCCCCAAGTCAAGCATGATGGTCCAAAATGATTCTCAACTTCAACAAAACAAAAACCAAACTCAAAATTAACTCTATAGAACATAAAAAAATTATTACATGGTGGATAATTTGATCTCACCTTTAAATTCAAAGTTATCTGATTTCGTTGGAGTTTGGCTTATGACACGAAGGAGGAATTTGACAAAGAGCTTAGTATCAGGTGGAAGAGTCGTTTCGTCCAAACATAGAAACATCGACATACTATTTCCCTTCCCTTCTCCATTTCCACGTGGATAAATCAGAATCTTCCTGTCCATAATGCATCAACATAATATTATTATGATAATCGTGATCATACAATTTCATAAAATTTTTTTTTCAACGAATGACACCACATTCTTTATTTTCTTGCAACTTTTATGATAATTTTTTTTTTTTAAACTTCTTTTTACTTCTGAATTTGAAAAGAGAAAGAAAGAGTTTCGTACATACCATTTATGATCTCGGACAATAAATGTCTCAGACTCATATCGATCAAGGTTTAAGGTTGAAAATGATTTAATGTTCCATATGTAACTATCAGTCACGATTTCTTTCACCATTGACAATTTCTCTCCTTTATGTGTTTGTTTGAGAATAAAAATGTCAATTCCAAACACGCAAGTGTCATTGACAAGGTACCCATTTGAAGAATCACTAAACACTTCAAGATCGATGAACTTTGGTACTCCCAATTCGGTTTGCATTGCATGGAAATGTCTTACTTTTCCGGCTGCATTATCACATTAATTAAATTATAAAATGAATCACAAAATAAACACACACAAAAATTGTACAACTAAAATATATATGAGGTCTATAATGAAGTAATTTGAGACATGTAAACCTGAGAGTGTATAATACTTGTCCCCAACTTGATCAAATACAAAAAAATTGACAATGGCTTTAACTTCCCAACCAGTAAGGAGAGAACTTGTATCCACCAATGTCAAAGATATGGAAACGTGGCCTTGCCCATCTCTATCCTTGTTCCCATTTGGGTAAATAGATAATTTCCTGCCAAAATTTGATGTTCCAAATTTGTCAAATTATTGATCAGAATTAAAAGTTTTTAAATTTGGCTTTAACCTCCCAACCAGTAAGGAGAGAACTTCACTACAGGAAATATAGAATTTAGCGGCGTTTATTTAGCGACGCTTTTTTAAACACCACTGTTTCTAACCTTTAACGACGTTTTCTAAACGTCACATTTTATATTGATTAAAACGGTACCGTTTAAGGAATAGAAGTCGTTTTTTAAACGCCTTCACGTGTTACAACAGTATTCCTCCCCCCTCTCTTTAGCTCTGTGAATCAAAACCCTTCTCTCTCTCTCTCTGCGCCCTCATTTTGAATCTGGGAAACATTCAGAGTCTTAGAGATTACGATTCAGAACCCTTCTTGCTCTCTCTCTAAACCCTTCAGTCTCAGAGATTATGATTCAACCTTCTTCAGTTCGGTTTCATCTCAGATCCAGTCTCAGAGTGATTTCGAGTTCGAAGTTCTCTCTTTCTCGATTTCGAAGCTCCACCGCCCCCACCATCTGCATCGTTGACTAAGGTGAGCACACCGCCCCCACCATCTTCAAATCCTGGAAATATGTGCCTTTAAAAGCAGATATTCCTTTCTTTCATAGGATATTAGAGTGTTGAAATTGTACAAGAAAACTGCAGGAAAATGTTTACTTTTGCATGATTATGTCCTGAAAATAGCTTGCCTCTATAAACTGCAGTAATTCTAGAAATTATTCAAAACACTAGTCCAGTCATTTTTGCTTAAAAACCCTATTCTCTTTGTAGCATTTTTCTTCGCTCACCATACACATGTGCTCACCATACACATGTGTCTTTTATTTATTTATTATTAATTTTATGATTACTGGGTCTTTTATTTATTTATTATTAATTTTATGTTTGATTTCCTTGTATTATTTTTTATCACAGAGTTGAAAATTTGTCTAAACATAGATTGTGATCCTATTCCTCTTAATTCATAAGTCTCTCTCTCTCTCTCAATTACTATGCAAATGCCTTTGACCTGCATTAGATGTTTGTGGAGGTACCCATCAGAACTATTCCTTCTTCTAATCTTTTATACTGACCAGATGTAATGCCCCACTATTTCTTGTAACCCCTTGTAAACTATGTTGGATGTTACTATAATGCAACAATACTATAGTTTATGTCATGGATTTAGCGCATTCCTTAAATTTCTTCCGCATTCATTTTTTATTAAACTTCAATTTTTTGTTCCCTTGGAAATTAAATTATAACTGACGTTTAGATTTAACACTTTAACTACTTCCAAAATGGAAGCAGCGAAATGTGGGACTGGCATGGAAATTAAATTATAACTGACGTTTAGATTTAACACTTTAACTACTTCCAAAATGGAAGCAGCGAAATGTGGGACTGGCATGGAAATTAAATTATAACTGACGTTTAGATTTAACACTTTAACTACTTCCAAAATGGAAGCAGCGAAATGTGGGACTGGCATGGAAATTAAATTATAACTGACGTTTATTTTTTGTGTTTCTGTTAGGTATTGCTCTTTAAAAGAAGCAGCCTCAGAAGCTTATGCACAAGTTTGTGCACCATACCATACATGGGCAGTCAGGACAGCAGTTTATGCTGGAATGTGTGCTCTCCGTTTTTTCAAAACGCCACTACAGTGCCAACGGACATTTTTTTTAAAATAAAAAAATCTATCACGGCGTTTTAAAAACGTCGCTAAATATAAAATGAGGTCATTTTATCATTATTTATCGCATTTAGCGGCGTTTTTAAAAACGCCGTCTATACTAATTTTACGACGTTTTTAAAGCGTCATAAACTTATAGCGACGGCCGCGTCCTCGACGTTTGGTGATAAGCGTCACTAAAGGAATTAGCGGCGTTTTTCATACATATAGCGGCGTTTTTAAAACGCCGCTAAAAGTCATTTTTCCAGCAGTGCTTGTATCCACCAATGTCAAAGATATGGAAACGTGGCCTTGCCCATCTCTATCCTTGTTCCCATTTGGGTAAATAGATAATTTCCTGCCAAAATTTGATGTTCCAAATTTGTCAAATTATTGATCAGAATTAAAAGATTTTAAAATTTTGTTTCATTAAAAAAAAAAAAAATCTCAAAAGGGTGAATTAGGGAAGAAGAGTTGTATGAACATAAAAATATATATAGATAGATACCATTTGTAGTCACCAGCTTCAAACTTGTCTGAACTGTATTTCCCTATCGAAGCTTTGGAAAGCGATGAAAATGACTGAATTTTGAAGGAGTAGTGTGACGGTGGAGCATCTCTTTCTGAAAGTAAATCATCAAACCAAAATGAACCCAAATCAACATTTACTTCAACATGTCAATATAAAATAAAATCGATCTTATTCACTTTATTTTTTCCAATACTCTCAAATATGTAAAAAAAAAAAAAATTGTGAGTGCATGAGAAAGAGAGACCTTCGAAGAAGACATGGGACTGAGGTCCTCTAAACCTTAAACCCATCTCAATGATCAGAAGCAGAAGCATAAAAACAGAAAAAGTTGGGAGACACAATAAATAGGGAAACCAAACCCACGTCTGTGAACAAAGTACCAACTTTTGGGGGAAATAAAGTTCTCATAATTGAAGTGAAACTGCAAAAGGAAGGGATCAACCCCCCTTGCACTTATTCCTTGTCGTTATTCTGTTTTGTTACTTCCTTTCCTAGTTGTATATACTCTTTTCACTTATGTTAAAAAAACACACAAATAGATTATAAAATACAAAATATATACAAACTGATAAAATTTTGCAAAATTTATAGATGGTATACATCTGGAAAATCTTATATATCCAATTCTGTAATTCTTCTATTTGTTTTTAGGCTTATTCATATTTCTTATAGCCTTAGTTGGTCCAAGTAAGGTGGAGACTTCTTTCACTCATTCTCATGTAAAATAAAACATTTATTTTTATCTGTTAAAATAGTAGGGGTTGTTTGGGATGACCTAAATAAATGTACTTTTTGTCTTTTTACGAAAAGATGTATAGAAAAGTAGAGAGATGCTGTGATGGAAAAAAGATAAAAAGATTGATTATTTTGTGTATGCTAAACTTGGCCTAAATTCATTCCAATTTTTTGAAGTGAGAACTGTGCAATTGAACATAATTTCCTCTTGAATCGGAGTGCACAGCTCACTTTCATAAGAAGATATGTCCTCACACAATATGAATTTTAACAAAAATGGAACCTTTATAATTTTTTGGCTGGGAAGTTTAAAAAAAGGAAATCAACTAACAACTTGCTTTGTTTGAGTCAATTCAAGAGGCAGTAACGATCCCATCACGTATAATGATTAGTATTTGATTAATTAAAAGGATTTGAAATTTAATCGCCGAGTATTATAATTTAATTTGAGATTTATGAGAATTGTGGGATCTGACTCGTAGATGATTCTATTAAAGATTTAGTTTGGAATTAGAAATTAAGGGTCCGAATGACTTAAGGAAGTGAAGTTAAGAAGTTGAATCAATTTAACCTTAGTTACAGACCCATTTGGGAGTTTAATTAGATATTCGATTCAATTAGTAAAATTGAGATTTAATTAATTGGGTCCGAATTGGAATTAATTTAGTTATACGAATTCGGAATTAAGATTATTATGAATTAAATTTGTTTATGAAGTGTTCAATTGATTATGTAATTTATTGATGAAGATTTTAGGTTTGATCTAAAATTGAAAGCCTTAATGATGTGAGAAACCAAGATTGAGAATGAAAATAAGTTTAATTTAATATTTAGAGTCTTTTGAGAGTTTGATTAAAAAGCTAATTCAGAATGATAAAATTTAAATATAATTAATTGGGCTCTAAAAGAAGTCAATTAGACTAATTAAATTAAATGAGATTTGTACTTAGTCATGATTAGTTGGGTTGGGATTTTACACAACAAATTAAATTAAGAGATGGTTAATTAAGTTAATTATAATTAAAGTTCGATCTCAATTAAGTATTCTAAAGTAAGATTAACTAGTTAAGAAAATAATAAATACACCACCACATGGATTTATGTTATGAAGCCAAGTGTCCCACTAAATTAATAAATAAAATAATAAAATAAAAGATGAAGATTGGAGTCATAGGAGCTTTGTTTCTGCGGGAGACAAATTAGAAAGAGAGAGTGCACGGTTGAGAGACCAAGAAGAAGAAGAGAAGGGGAAGGAGAAAGGCTTGTGGGTTATCAAAACTCAAACTAAAAAAATTATGGAAAATTCAACATGAGGTAAGGGATTTCATCCTTTTTGGTATTGTTTACTTAATTTAGACAAAAATTGATTCAAGATGAGTTTTGAGGGAATTAAAAATAAAATTTTGTAGATCAATTATAAATTGTTAAAATTTGGGTTTGCATGTAAAATCAAGTTAGGACAAAGAATGTGAACTATGATTTCTTATATTTGTTTAATTTGGATTCAATTTCACATAAATATGAGGAGTTAGCAAGATGATGAATGAATGAAGTTATGTTCAATTTATGGAAATTAATTTAGAAATTAACTATTTTGGGTTTGATTTTGGAACATCATGCATGAATTGAGTCTAATTTCTACATGCATGGGCAAATCCTACAAGTCCTAGTACTCTAAATGTACATGCATAATAGATTTCTTAAAATTGATTTCATGTTTTGGTGAAATAAAAGCTAAGCTTTGGAAAATTATGAGTTTATGGAAAATTAAACATTGATTTATT